CCAGCAGGCCCGCCCCCGCCGCGCCTAGGCCGCCGGCCGCGAGCCCCAGCCCCGTCGGCGCCCGGCCTCAGCCCGCCCCCGCCACCAACGGCCGCGGACGGCCCTTGCGCTGCTACCTCTGCGGCCAGCCGTACGGGCTGCAGTCCCTGGCCATACACGAGCCTCAGTGTCTCCAGAAGTGGCGCCTGGAGAACTCCAAGCTGCCCCTAAACCTCCAGCGGCCAGAGCCCCAGAAACCAGAGATCATCTTCACAGGTCAGCCGCTCTTCCGGCCTGCCGCACAGGCGCTTAGAGCCGCCTAGAGCGCCCGCTAGAAGGGTATTCACGCGTAGGCCGTGCCTCAGCAACGCAACTCTCTCCCTAACTGTCTCTACCGTGCTCACCGGCGCAATGCTGGCCTCACAAACATATGTCCAAAGCTCATTTCCTTCAAGCTCTAACGCCAAGTATCTCAGTCGGATAGCTAGCGTTATTTAGATAATTTATACTACTTTCTCTTTCTTTTCACCTTTTTGAATATTGCATCTTAAAGCAGTCTTCTGCCTTTTCCTACCACTCTTTTTCTTTCATTTTCTCCATAACTAGAATTGTTTAAAATCATTCGTTGTACCACTCTAGCTCCGAAACTTAGCTCACGTTACCACCGTACAGTTGTCCTAGAGCAGACACGGTAGTGTCCTGTATTTTGAACATCTGTAGTCCTGATAATAACATAGAACACTTCACTCTAAAGAAGAACATGAGGATCGGAGCGGATAGGAACATGACAAAACGGCATTTGTTCTGAGCTGTGATTGGTCGAGAACAGACGACCTAGTCTAAATAAATACAGTTTTCTTATGTTCCTGGCCGCGATCTTCATGCTCCTATTTTCTGTACGGTCACGTTCCTTATAGCGTGGAATTAACGAACCGCTTGCCTCACGAGGATGAGGAAGATTTCTTTTCACGGAAACCAACGTAACGCCAAAAATACAGTGGGGTAACAGGGGCGTAATTGCCTGGTGACTTTCGATATTAAACGACCTTCAACACGATCGGAAGACCGTTATAAACCCCACCACTCGTAATGCACGAGGTTTGGATACCATGACCCAACGCGGACTCGTCCGAAGTGAACGCAAAGGTGCTGGTCCGCCCGGGCCTGGAGCGCCCGGCACGGTAGGCAAATCGTGAGTCGGGGCGGCACAAGAGTCGAGCGGGTGGCCCACCCGAGCGCTCCGCAGGCTGACCACGAAGGGAGGTGAAGGAATCTGTCCGCGGACTGCCTACACGTACGATTTGCGAAGCCTTGTAATTTATCTGTACCCTTTCCGCTCGAGGACCGCGCGGGGCAACAGCATCGACCGGACCCGCCCGGCCAGGCCAGGCCAGCGGCGAGGAAAGGTTACAGGTTGCAGAGAGATCTGGAGATAGCGCGACGATATGCCCCCACCAGCGATAAATGTACAAGGGCGCACAAATCCGCCCGCGAGGCGCCAGAAATACGCTTCACCGCCCCGCTTTATTTCAGTCCTCCCCCGCCGGCGATGACTCGGTCGGCTCGGGGGAGGCCCAGGGCCCAGCCCCGCTCACGCGGTGTACCTTGCAGAGGACGGCGACGTGGACTGCTGGGCGACCTTCGACCGCATTTGGGCCAATCACACCGAGTCCCTCATTCCCTGCAGGACCTGCGGCCGACGGTTCTTCCCCGACCGGATCCTGACCCATGAGCGCGCGTGCGCAGGGGCAGGGGCAGGCGGCAGCCGCCCGCACCACCAGGCTCGACGCTAAGCCACGCTAGGCCGGGACCCTCTCGGTTAGTCGCCGCTACCCCTCGCGGGCGCTACCCCGCGACCCGAGTAACAGGTGGTGGGGAACGCCTGCTGACTTTCTAACTTGTGCTGCTGCTGACCCATGCCATGTGGCAGACAGACTGCCGACTGTACTAACTGCAAAGGCTCACTGCGTGGCAGATTCTGTGGTCTCACGTTGGCGTTTTTTACGTTTCAGATACCGGCAAAGTGGACATGGACGCGACGGCAGAGGCCGCGTGGCAGGCCCATCTCTCGCAGCTCATACCCTGCAGTCACTGCAACCGCAAGTTCAGCCCCGATAGAATCGAGGTGCACGAGCGGTGCTGCAAGGGCGACAGGTAGCATGACTTTGTAAAAACTTTTGACAATAAAATAACCTCCACCACATATTTTACTTTGTCCATTTCCCTATCACTCATTACAAACTATGAAACAAGATCGAAGTCTCCAGAAGGAAAGGAATAAATATACAGATTTGTTTGGCTCCCGACTTTTAATAGTCACAATATCATTCTTACGTACGGTCTTTCTTACAGCAATCCTTCAGCATGGCAAATCACAAAATAAGTGTTAACAAATAAAACCACAATAGAAAAAATACCATCCATTGGGATTACTTAACTGTAAAATATCATTAAAAAGTTCAAAAGAAATAATTCCGGCGAATGTAATTCGAGAAGTTTTTCAATTTTCTTACACCTAACAAAAACAGACATTTACAGTTTGTCAAGGTACTGTTGGAGGTCTGGCAGACCTTCCTTAAGACCTTTCCTCTTACGGATGTCCTGAAAAATAGAAGGATGCATGGATTAGACACAAGAGAAACCACAAATAAAGGTCAAGGTTAATGAGAAGTCAGTTACAAGTTTTGACCTCACTGCCATTCAGAACAGGTCTGTGGTAATCATCACACAAGAGGAAGAACAGTAAAGTAAAAGCTACAAGACCTACCTGGACAACGGTGTAAGGCTTGGCGCTGGGGTCAGTGGGGTCACCGGGGAGGATCTGCCAGTGGTCGAACACACACTGAGGGAAGGCCTGTCCACCAGTATTTGATCGGAGATCAGCAGTGAAACCTGGGAAATAAAAAATGAAAAGGTCAATTAAACCAGAACAAGTGCAGAGAAGTGAATGGCGTTTGCAATAGGGGAGAACATCTTCAGATGGCCGTTCTTAGTATCTCCATAACACTTGGTTCAAGAACAGAACATTCATCACTAGATAAACCAGCCATAAAACCTTTTGACGGCACTATTGGTTCCCTCAGAACATGAGTTCCAGATATCAAAAGAGCAAGTTGTTAAGTAACCATAATCAGGTATCAATGTCCTCAAAATTAATTCAGAACAGGTCTGTGATAAATATCATCACTTGGTTACGACTTGATTGAAATAAAAAGGTAAGAAATGCAATTTTTTCAGATGGCCGTTCTGGTTTCTTCAAAACAAGAGTTCCAGATTAGAACAATCATCACCAAAAGGACAAGTTATTACGTAACCATAATCAGGTATCAATATCCTCAAATTAATTCAGAACAGGTCTGTGATAAATATCATCACTTGGTTACAACTTCACACACTATTGTAACAAATGCAACTTTTTCAGATGGCCGTTCTGGTTTCTTCAAAACAGAAGTTCCAGATAGAACAATCATCATAAAAAGAGCAATGCAATCTCCAACATTTTAGATTGAGAAGTAGGAAAATATATGTAATACTAACCGAAGGACTCGTTGACGGGCAGGTAAGCCTTGACAACGAACATAGGGGTACCAGCAACCTGCATTTCTTCAAAGACGTGCCCTCTCCTGCGGTTGAGGACACCATAGATACCACCAACAGCAACCTCGGGGCACTGGATTTCACAGAGGTACACGGGCTCCATAAGTCTGGGTGCGGCGGTGAGCTGAGAGGCGTACAGGCAACGACGGGTGGTAGGGATGATCTGGCCACCACCTCTGTGGATGGCGTCAGTGTGAAGAGTGACATCATAGATGTTGAATCTGACGGCACGCATGTTCTCCTCAGAGAGGACACCCTGAGAAACAAATAGAAATTCAGTTAATCCCCAGATACTTGGAACCTTGTTACTTGAAGATGTAAATTGAGCACATCAGGTAAAACAAATCCTCAAAGATAATTCAGAACAGGTCTGTGATAATTATCATCATTAAGTGCCTAAATGAAGCTCAAATTTCATTTAGAAAAACATCTTACCTCCTTGGTGGCCCACTGGAATCCAGCAACAACGGAGTCCTTGATTTCATTCAGGTACTGAACTCCCTTGGTGCAATCAAGCAGCATGTTGGGGCCGGTTCCGTCGGGACCGAAGCACCAGATCTTACGAGCCTCAGTGACATCGTAGTCGTACTTCTCACCCAAGTAACGGGCACGAGCCTTGAACTCGTCACGGGGGTTGACTTCACCGTTGTCAATGTCCTCAGCCAGACCGTCGGGCATAGGCACGGCCTTCATGAAGAGACGGTTGTGCTTGTTGGGAGACTTGGACAGGCACATCACGTCGGATTCCTCAGAGACGGTTTCACGGTAGGATACAACAGGGTCAGACTTCTTGATGGGAATGCAAGCGTGGTCGTCTTCCAAATCCTTCAGACAGATTTCAAGATGGAGCTCTCCAGCACCAGCGATGATGTGCTCACCAGACTCCTCAATGATACACTGCACCATAGGATCGGACTTGGCAAGACGCTTAAGACCTTCCACAAGCTTGGGCAGATCGGCGGGGTTCTTGGGCTCGACAGCGACACGCACGACAGGTGACACGCTGAACTTCATGACCTTCATGTTGTGGGCATCCTTGAAGGTGGTGATGGTACCAGTCTTCACGAGGAACTGATCGACACCGACCAGACCGCAAATGTTACCAGAGGGCACATCTTCAATGGCCTCAACATAACGTCCCATCATGAGGATGGTCCTCTGGATGGCCTTCTCATACAGATCCTCCTTCTTGCCAGGGGTGTAGTTGGGTCCCATGATGCGGGCCTTCATACCAGTGGCGACCTTGCCGGAGAAAACACGACCGAAAGCGTAGAAACGACCCTTGTCGGAGGTGGGGACCATCTTGGAAATGTACATCATAAGAGGAGCGTTGGGGTCGCAGTTCTTGATACCGATAGCGGCCTCGTCGTCCTGAGGTCCTTCGTACAACATCTCCATACGGTACTTCTGGGCCACGACGGGAGAGGGAAGATGGATGGCAATCATCTGAAGCAGAGCCTCACCAGCGGGCAGCCAAGTACGCATGACAACCTTCAGGAGCTGCTTGCCGTCTTTGTCGGCGTCCTCGTGCTTCAGCTCAATGTTCATCTTAGCGAGGAGCTGAGCTGTCTCTTCCTTCTTGTAGTTCATGATGCATTCGAAGACCTTGTAGATGGGATCCAGGATGTACATGCAGAAAGAGCGTTTGTTGTCGTCTTCCTTCTGCTTGGACCACTTCTTGGTCTTGGCGTTGAAGAAGTTCTCACCCCAGAGCCTGTTCATGAGCTTGACAACATCAATCTTGAACTTGTCAGCGTACATCTCGGCGAACTGCTTGAGGGTGAAGGCCCAGCCGTGGAGACCGGAACCGAAACCAACACTACCCTTGCTGGGGTCAACCTATTGAAAAAGCAATTGAATTAGAAACATTGAGACAAATGCCTAGAATGAAAATTGATGTACTTGCAAATGAAGACAATGTAAGTTCCCCTATTCAGTCACATGAACAGTCAAGCAACTAAACAAAGAACTTTTAATATATCCACTAGCTCATAGAAACATGATGCAATTCATGTCCCCAAAAAACTGCTTAATGGAAAGAAAAAAAAAACAGGACACTTACTCGCACTTCACCCATGGGACCAGAGTCGTCACTGTAGGTGGCAATGATAACGTTGACATTCTCAACAATACGCTGGAAAGTCTGGTACAAGTCCTCAGATTCAAGCTGCAGCTCAAGGAGAGCACGGTCCATCTTGTTCATGAACAAGACTGGCTTAATACGCTCAGCAATAGCCTGACGCAGCACAGTCTCAGTCTGGACACACACACCTAAGGAAGTTCACAATTAATGAATGGAAGATCATAGAAAGCAATATTAGCAGCTAAAAAATATCCACCTACCAGAAACACAGTCGACAACAACAAGAGCACCATCAGTGACACGAAGGGCAGCAGTGACTTCACTGGAGAAATCAACGTGTCCGGGAGAGTCAATCAAGTTGATCAAGAAACCAGTCTCGTTCTTGTCACGCTGGTCAGGGTTGGTGATGAAGACAAGATCTTTCTCTTGCAGAGCGAAGAACATAGAGATGGCACTAAAGAGGAAATGAGTTGATTAGAACAAGTAAAACATCACACCAAGTGTAACAGATAGGGTTCACTTAAACATACGTTGACTTGATGGTGATGCAACGATCCTGTTCATCTTTGCGGGTGTCAGTGAAACGGGTTTCACCAGCCTTAGCACCAGCAATAATACCAGCCTTAGATACAAGGGAGTCTGTAAGAGTTGACTTGCCGTGATCTACGTGGGCAATGACGGACATGTTACGAATGTTCTTCTTCTTGTCCATCATCCCACGGATCTCGTCTACGGTGAAGTTCACCTGAAATCACAACGGAGCCATATGTTATTACAAGGGCGGATTAATTCCTCACTAAAAAGTCTGGAAATTTCACACTCATAAATTTCCTAACATGAGATAACAGGAGTGATTTTTTGTTAAGTGCAAAACCCCTCAACATACCATCCTTAGGGACCAATCTAGGAGGCCCGGTCGGTGATGTCAATAGTACAGTGCTCATAACCACTATCACTTCCCATCCCCAGCGCGGTACGCGCTTTCAATATTGCGTTATGTGGCAACACATTCCGAAAGTAACAAGCACTAGAACGGCTCGCGAAGCACCCACAGGGAAAAGGAAATGTGACGAGTTGACGATTCAAGTAACGAAATCCGGACAAGTTCGACAAAAACCGAGACAACTAAACTGGGACGCGTAAGATGACGGGGTAGAAACGCTAAGAAACCGAAAATAGTGGGATAAAGCACGCAGACGAAAGTAACGAAGGCCAAAATATATCGACATTATTATGGGAGCCGGTTGGCGGTGGATGCTTCGTGTGCTCAAGATGAACAACATAACCACAGCTGTAACCTCAACGCCACAGATAACTCAAAATTTTGATACACGTCAAGCGTAAATAGTGCAAAAATAAGCTAGTAAAAATTCCCTGAGCAAAAATCGACATCGCCAAAAGAGAAAAGGAGCGAAAACATGAGGCGCAAAGTGCATCGGCCGTTCACATGTTGCGGGCCGTTGTGCAACAAAACGGATCAAATTTTCTTAAGTATTTTAAAGACAACCATAAATAACAATAGGTTCACTACAAAGCCCAGACTCTAAACTGTCTAACAGTAACTAACATGAAATTATAGTAAACGTACCATCTTGGATGTTGTTGGATGTTCCTTGGCAAGTAAAATCTACAAACGCCAACAATGGCGTCCTCCCTGGGAAAGGAACTGCCACGCTAGAAGCAGCTCTGATTTGAAAGAAGAACGACAAGAAAATTCCTTGTGCATGTTCCTTAAATCCTCTTGTACGACGTCACAAGTGGCTCCATCTGTCTGTTGCGCAGACTAGCCACAATCAACTTTTAGCAGATGTAAGCAAAGGTAAGGTACTAATTTCCCAATCTACGATTCATTTTAATAATTACAAATAACATTTTGTCCTTATTTATTCTTCAATCAAAAATATAAGATAGACCAGTGGGACCAAAAGTCATTGCCAACCTCGAAGCAATCTTGCAACAACCTGTTGTAAACAAGTATGTGCTATTTTCATCTTTCAAAGCAATTAAAACGCATTTAAAACGAGTTATTTAGTAATAGTAGTCTGTACGAGAGAGGCTTAGACATTGAATCACGGGTTTCGTTCACAACTGTCACGTGGAAAGAGATTTGGTGATTTGGTCAACCTGTGACCATTGTGCACGGTGGGGACGCGGGAAATCTCAAATGCACTCGCTCTGCTGACTGCGAAAGATAAGTTTGATTTAAGACAGGTAAGCGCGTTTATCATATATTTTCTGTGCTTTTACTACGTAAAACCTGCGGTAGAAAGCTGAAATGTTCGTGTAAACCTCCAAATCTCCCCGCCCCCCCTGCCTCCTCCCCTCACTGGAATACCGGCGAAGTGCTGGGGGGTTGCATTGTTGAGCCTCCCGTTCCTAGGCGTCCACGTCGTGCTCGTTTCGGGGTTGAGCCATTTTGTAAACAGCTGCGATCCCCGCGACCGAGGGAGTCACGCCATGGACTCGGACCACCTCGTCGACCCCCACGCCGTGCCGCAGGTCGACGTGCAGCTCGTGGAGGGCGCCGGGGAAAGGAGCACGCGCCGCCCCGAGCACGCCGACGTCAAGGTAGCGAGGCAAAGCGGGGAGGAAGGTGGGGCTAGGGTCAGACAGGAGGATGGTGATAGTGGAGTCAATGAGCGCAGTCGATTCGCCCGCAGGATGGCGAGTACTCTGTGTGCTTCGAGCGGATGGGCATGGGCGATCTGGAGGTGGTGGAAGTCGTCGATGTGGCGGACGAGGGGAAGGTAAACAGATTGCTTGAGCTCGTACTATTGCTTGAGCGCAACAACTGACCCGCTGTGCTCTCAGCCCCCGAGCGCCCGCGCCGCACCCCACATCGGCGTCCCCCAGGAGGCGTGGCAGCCCGCGGCGCCTGCGGCGCCGTCCTCCGTGTCGTACTGCTACCTAGAGTGGACACCCTCGGAGGACAGCGACGACGAGGACGTCGGGCTGCTCGACGCACTCGACGTGCAACTGCAGGCCTCGCCGAGGGACGAGTGTCAAGACCCCCAGTGCTCCGGGACCTCGCGCATGCAGTTTGCCTTGCAGAGCTCCAAGGGCTCCCAGACGGAGGAAACGATAGAGCCCTTCTCCAGCCCCACCCTGGTGAGGTCCAAGCTGGGCATCACCAATGTGTCCATCATCAATTTGCCGCCCTCGGAGTCCGAGACGCAACCGCAGCTGCTGGCGCAGGCGCACATGTCGTGGCCGGAACAGAAACCCGGCCAGTATGACGATGTTGACGTGGATGATGACGGCATCCTCCTCGATGACGAGGAAGACGAAGTTTGTCGGAGAGCGCCCACCCCGGAGAACACGCCCCAGCATAGCCCTTCCGAGGAGCACCAGCATGGGCTGGGGATGGGTTTGGAGCTGGGTGAGTTACCAAGGGAAGCCCCAACTGCGAATCAGCCGAGGGAGGCGCGACCTTCATCTTATTCTTGTCGTCGCAGACCCCGGGTCCACGCTCTACTCCACTCTCAAGGACATGGCGCTGCTCGACGAGACCTACAGCGGCGGCAGCACGCCCAGCCCCGAGGCCACCCCCGAGGTATCCCCGGGCAGGCCCAGCAGCGCGCAGCAGCAGCAGCAGCAGCAGCAACAGCAGCAGCAGCAGCAGGCCGCGAGCGCCAGCGGCGGCACCCTCGGCCGAGTCTGGAGCCGACTCTTGGTAATTACTGCAAAGCGATTTATTAACTCCTTTCCTTTGTCGCTCCCCACCCACTTGCTTCACGGCTTTCTTGGTTCTGCCAGGGGAGGACGAGTAGAACCCGAACTGAAACCGTCTCCAACACGCCGCCGACCCTAACACACCAAGCGGACACTGAGGACTCGGACGACGCCGACTATGAGGAACGCGTGCTGGAAGTCGATCCCCAGACCATCGACGAGCTCGAGGCGACCCTAGAGGAGGTGCGCGGACGCCGTCGCCGTCGTCTTGCCTTATCGAGATAAAACTCATACCTTTTATTTGTCAACATGATTTTTTTGCCTTCTAGGTGCGACTGGACGGGGATGCCGACGACCCCGTTGTGAGCTACCTCGTGGAGGAGGTGGAGGAGATGGTGCGGGTTCCGGGCACCGCCAGTCGAGAGGTGACTGTCGAAGAGGTTCACGACGACGCGACGGAGGACGAGTTGCCTCCCCCGGCTCCGAGACCGTCCGGGCTGTTGTCGAGGCTGTTCTCCAAGACGAAGACGAGCCAGGACGTCTCGAACAGCAGCGAGCCGGTCAGGAGGACACGAGGTACGGCGGGGGAAGTCCGCGGGGTTGGGGAGGACGCGGAACAGTGGAGTTACTCCCCCGCTCGATCTGCCCCTGCAGGAAGTGGTTCTGCAAAGAGGGGCAAAGTGGAGGCGCCGAGCCGTGACCGGGCACTGCACATACACCGCCTCAAGCCCCGGCAGACCAACAAGGCGGTAAGAAGGCTGGAGGGCGGCGGGTGCCTTGCTGTACGGGGTGGTGTGACGTGGATGACATGGTGACGACGTGCTACCTGCAACCTGCAGGCGCTGCGGAGCTCGCTACCGCGCTGCCTGACGCGGTGGCTGCGGCAGGGCGAGGGCGGCGCGGGCGGCGCCACCACCTGGGGGGCCGAGGGTGACGCGGGGGAGTCGGTGGTGGGCGGCGTGAGTCCCCGCCTGGGGCCCAGGGCGCTGCGGCCGCCGCGGCCCCCCGCCCCCGCCTTCGTCTTCGGCGTCACCCAGCCCCCGGCGCTGCAGCGGACCAGGAGGGCTCCCTGCCCCAAACAGCCCCAGACCGAGGTAGGCAAAGGCGCCTAGAATGATCTTCCACAAAACTAGACCAAGGGATTCATCAGCTTGTTGTATTGTTTACTCAGGATCTGGAAGATGACTCACAGGCAAAGGTCTATAGTGTAAAAACATCGAAAGAGGAGAAGTTATTAGCAGACTTTGGTAGCCAAACTGTTGGGTGCATCGAAGTTCACACCCCTCTGGTGCACAAAGAATCAAGAGGGGTCGAAGCAGTGCTCAATATCACAATGCCCAGTGCGTCTGATAGTTTTTGAGAACTGGACAGATGGTCTAAAACTAATTCATAATACAGTATGACTTCATGTTGTAGAAAGTGTTACACCATCGCATTTTTGTAGTAGATTGATAAAATAATATCAACTTGTCAAAAATACTCAACTAAGCGTTAAAGTTCTGTTGTGTTGTGTTTTTATTAATTAGTAATAAGCGTAAAAGGTCATAATGTACAGAAAAAAGATAGGAAAAAGCAGAACATTATCAGTTACTAATGTATTTCAACAACTCAATTTCAGTCAGATTTTTGTTATCAAGTAGTTGACATCAAGTTTCTCGACTGAAAGTTACTGCAGCAACAAAAAACAAGCAAGAGACAGACAATGCAAAATGGACGGAATCTACTACAGGTATAAGGTGTAATATAAAATTTCTTGATCAGAAAGCTCTTAGAAATAAGAATTTAAAAAATTTATAGACTATGCTTGTTAATATAAACATGTGACTTCATTTAAATCAGACTACAATCATACTGCTTGGTTCTGATTGGTCCCTATAATGTCAATCAGCATACACAGAGACAAATGCATGCAATAATAAAAAAAATCTAATCACAAAAAAACTAGCACAAAAATAATGATGTGACGACACTGCCATGATTAAGTCAAATACTGTACATTTGGTTCAAAACTTCATACATAATATATAGAATTCATTAAGATGAAGTAGCTGCCATGACATCAGGGCAGGATGAGGTAAATGCATTAATTAAACTCAACGCAATTTTACAGAAACAAAATAAGATGCTCCTTAGGTATCTGATCAGCAAAAAGCAAGGAATTGTTGCATATCTTACTGACAATCACCATTAAGGATTGTGCATGAGAAAAGTAGAGGTAATAATGTCTAATATGGTAACCATTTATGCTAAGATCTGGCACTAACAATTAACATGTTTCATCCAAGTCATTCAATTTGTCTGAAGGTATAAGTACATTCACCAGATACACATTTTACAAATTAAAACAATTCACAAAATAGTCATCTTATAAAATCAAAAACTAAATCAGATCTCAGTTTTATAGTGTTAAACTCTTTCTTCTAGGGCCTAGAAAAGCTATGGAATAAAGTATCTTCTGTACGTATTTCTTAGAGATAAGGAAGAGGGGAAGATGATAAAAAACGTTGACTGACAGTGAGCGATGTCCAAAACACTAAATGCACACATGTATCTTAAAATTATTATCACAATGCTTAACAAATATTCACAAGGGCACTGTTCTCCAAGTTCAAAGTATAAAAGTTTAGCATGAGAGCAATGAAAATAAGTGAAATTGTTAGGAGCAGCACCCTCCCTGTAATCATTACAATCCAAGTATAAAAATAAAATAGAGGTATTTTGAGACTGGCAAGGAGTTAGCCAAGAATTAAAGTCGATAAAAGCAAGAATTTGTGATAAAGAAGGCTGAACTAGCTCAGATTAATGTGATCACTTTGCTTAAATGCAACCTAACAGGAATTTTCTAAAGAAAACAAAAACAAATGTATCATACCCAAACCACATAGATTCTCTCAAATTAAAATCCAGTGGTTGTTCATGATACGTTTTGTACAAATCTTAAAGAGACGGCATAATCACATAAACAGACCAACTCAAGCAACTCCTCACAGTTTTCCGAATGGAAGCTAGGAATTTAAAAAAGAGAATAGTTCTACTGTAATAATAAACACTAGAATTGAAAATTTATCACAATCAAATTTTTCTCACATGAACAATAAAATAATTTGTCAATTGTTCCCTCTTTATGGATTATTGCAGGAATTTTGCAAGAGAAACGTCTTGAAATATAACATAAGTCCGTCATGATACAGTATAATATCTTAAGGTAAAAACAACTATAGCACAATCAAAAGGTTGGCGTATCTCACTAGCATGACATGGCCCGGTGAATTCTATTAACAGTCAACAATAGAATTTGTTTTGCCATGCTTTTCACCATGTGCTAATTGATACATCAATATCTTGTGGAAACTAACTAGAAAATACAATTTAGGGCACATTTGATGACTGGAGCGAGGTTGATTCACATGTACTGAGAATCTGACAGGATGTAGGATGCTCACATGCCAGATTCTGCAATACCTTCATCATCTGCAAAAACAAAAACAAAACAAAAAATGTATAAGGAATCTAGCAAATCAAATAACTTGAGGTGGCTATAGCCTCATGAGGACTGAGGCATGAGGCACACAATTCTTGAACAGTTTCAAAGCAAATTATCATTTTGGGGCACTGTGATTGGCCTAGACTGGCCCATCTCATCCTCATTAGACTAAATCCACCTCAAGTAACACACATATGCTATCAAACAATCGTCATTGAAAAAGCAACACATAATTACGCTGTACTGTCAGGGTACATTAGCTGTCCATAGAGCTACTGATCTTATTTCGGGCCAGGCATTGATTTGGGTATCGGATATAAGGGTGAATGGTGAGCAAATATTAAGAGTGGCTATTCAAAATTGCAACATTTTGACATGACATGACACTATTTGCTTTACAGCCATCCTGCATATCCAATATTATTTGAATTAATACTTGATCTGAAATAAGCTCAGCAGCTCTGTAAAGATAGGCGCACACAAAAACTACATGCAGACAACATAAACTGCAAGCAATCATGCATTTAAAAAGAGAAACATCAGGTTATGAAGAAAAGATACTGTGTAAGACAAGATAGATGGATAGATATTATTTTCCCCGAAACTTAACCAAGTAAATTAGAGTTGATACTGATATTAGGCTGAGTTTGGATTGAGCATAAAGAACATTGTATTTATAAAGGCAACAGACAACCATGCAGAACCTAAGACTAATGAGGAACAATCATATCAAGAGGCTGCATATACAAACAATTCCTCAGCTGTACTGCTAAATAAAGATCAAAAGTACAATGTAAGCTTAGCTAGCAAGGCTAACTAGACAGCGAAACTACCAAAAAAATTGTAACCATAAAAATGAGCAGGCAAAAGAAATGAACCCAAATTTTACCAGGTATCACACCATTTTCATTTTTCACTCTCGCCCTTAGTTGTTGTGGCACCAGAGGTGCCATCAGATGACTTAGAAGACATGGCACAGCGAACAGATGCAGCAACAGAACGAAGAGCGCAACGAACTCCATTCCACCATTCTATGTACGAAAAAAAGTTTGCTAACACACTTAACACAACCACTTTTCTCTGGTTGAGATAGGCGATACTCAAAAACTCTTGTTAAGGCATACTTCCAATATTAAGGACCAGTAAATTCTAAATAGTCTAATACTCAAACCTAATGATCCCTAACAATATACCCCATCCTCTTTGATTAATCTCAGCCCATGAATAATTATATCAAAGACAGCCATCAAATGATAAGAATATTTCTAGGAAGTATAATCCAAAGCATTAGGAAATAAAGGATACCAAGTACCAAAGAAAGAAAATAAAAATGTATACAAATATATCAAGTAAGGTGAAATGTAAAGGAATCTGAGAGTAGGGAACACAAGGATATCAAGCCAGGGTAGTATGTAGGTACTTAAAAAAGTAGGCACCTTCACAAACTTGAGAGCAAGAACCTAAATTAATCATTAAAAAACATTTAAAATCAAATGCTGAGCAGCCCAAAAATAGTCCAGAAGACACCTTCACCAGGACAAGGGGAGTATTTACAACATTTCCACCATCCCACCTCCAAACACATATGTTAACTGAAAACCTCATGCCAACAACTGTTGCTACAGCTATAATGAGGTCCATTGAAAGACACAGGTTTAAGTTTTCTAAATGAATCAAACATATGAAACCAGTTCAAATGTGTGTTGGTCTCTTGTGTCTTTCAGGAGAACACTGAATGAAAGTCAATAGTCGATTAGATTCAAAATGGGTACAAGTTTACCTTCAAAGCCTTGGTTGTGATGAGCCTCTCGTTGTGTGGAGCCAGGACCACCTCCACCTTCGTTCCCTTCTAGCACAGCTAGCAGGCACTGATGTATACATATGTACTGTTGCTCAGTTTGAACCATCCAAACTCTCTCCTTACGCATTTGCCAGACAATGCCAAATATGTCAACACAATCTGAATGGGACAAACTTTGAAGAATCCGATCTAGGGCTATAAAGGTACCAGAGCGCCCAACACCAGCACTGAAAAGAAATAAGATTAGATCAGACTTTCATCCTGCTTTGAACACATTTCACTGAAATAAATGCAGAAAGATAAATTTTACCTGCAATGTACAACAATTGGCCGCTGGTCAGGCCCAACTCTATCTCTAAAAGCTCGCACAAATCTGACTAAGGTTTGAGGAGGGTTGGGCACACCAAAATCTGGCCAGGTTGTGAAGTGGAAGTGCCTCATCACACGAGATTGCTCACCCTGTGTACACAGAAAATACAAAATAAACTAACGCATAACACACCCAATAAGATGGGAGATTTGCTACAAAAGATGGAAACGCACTCTGCACATGATGAATTCTGTGATAGTCCAGTCAGGGTAGTGACTGTCATTTAGTATAGTGACACAAATGTCACCATAGTACACAGGAAGTGTGTCATAAGGCCAGTAATGATCACACTTTTCTCTCCCTTTCTCAATGCATCGAGTTAACATAACAATGGCACGTGAATTAGACTCCCAGCACATTCTCCAGAAGTCATCTCTAGTAGAATGCAGGGGTCCTTGAGTGACTATAAACTCTCGAGGAGAATTGTGTCCCTAGAAAGAAAAACATACAAAATTAAATTATTGTTTTATGATTGGATAAAAAAGAAAACAAAACTAGAAATTAAACCAATACACTCATTTTGACTTACAGGTACATAATTTGCATTGATGTAATCTGACCCTTCTTCATCATCTACGGGTTGAAGCTTGACTCTTGAGTGATCATATGGCAAAATATTTGTAAAGCGATTCTTGGGACGGTTGCATGGCAGATCAGCTGCTGAACAACTTTGTTCACGCCCAACATGCTTCAACTCCTCAAACTCTTCAGAAAACCTGAAGTCTGAGTCTGCTGACATTAGACGATAATGGTCTGCAAAGTTCTCCAAACGAATTGCTCGGCTATAATTGTGTCAAAGAAATAATATTGGTTTTAAAAAAAGTTATTCCTATTTTGAATAATTATTTCTGCATCCAACCATTTAGGATAAATCATTTTACCTAGTCACAATTACACTGTCTGGTAAAGACATATTATCGTTGTTGCGTGTATCAGTAGCTTTTTTGTGAGCTGATCTTCTTCTTCGAAGTAATAGAATGGTAATTAACAGTAGCACCACCAAGGCTGCTGGGACACCAACTCCAATGAAAATTGGAGTGTTGTCTTGATCTGTTGATTAAATTAAACAACCATAAATTAAACTACCATACACTAGTTAAAAAGGTTGATAGGTTGTTAGCAACTTAAAGAATTACCTGTCTGAATTGGGAAAGAGTAATGTGTATCTGTAAACTTATCTGGGGCAGTAAATGCTCTAACTTTGACACGATAGGTTGAACCTGATTTCAAAGGACCATTGCAATATCCAGGTCGAGTTTTGTCACAATTCATGGAACCAATTGTAAAGTCTTCAATTGTTGAGTTTTTAAAGGGATAATAGGGGTCCATAACTTGGAAAGGGGGCCAAATACTATACGCTTGAACATCCTTCCAGCTTGGCATTTCAAGCCCAGATGAGTTCTTTGTATCATCTTCAGCAACAATTATAGTATATGATGTCACAACACCATTGGCATCTGAAAAATAATTTTTCCGGAAACGAATTTGAATTGACGTGGTGCTACGACACACTTCGGTTGGAACCAAAGTTCCAGATGATCTAGGCGGGGGTAAAATTGGCATCTTTTGCTTCCATACTGCTTCAGGTCCATAGCCCACTCGTGTTTCTGCTTGAATCCTAAATACATAGGTTTTTCCTGGAAAGAGTCCTTTGATTGTGCCATGAATTTCCCATGGGTTAAAGTCTCGAACTTGAGTGTGGGTAGAGCCCTATGAGATAAAAAGACATTTTAAAAATAAATATGAAAGCATAGTAAATTTAACTGAAAATCCGACAGTCTGAGGTGTAAACATACATCTAACCCATATGTGATGGTAAACTTTCGAATGATACCATTCTGCTGGTTACTTGGCAAAGCCCATTCAAATGAGATATCGCCAGGCAAAATATCAACCGGAACAAACTTCTCCACCTACAAAATAGAAAGCCTATTGGTAGAAACTTGTACATAATTCAAATAGGTTGCATGCTTACAAACACTATTTCAACACATACCTTGCCAGGCACAGATTCATGTGTTTGGAAAATTGCAGACACTGGAAGAGACCGTCTCAAGACAGAGGACTCAGTGCCAGATCTCACAACAACAGTGAAAGTGTAATTTCTATGAGGTTTAAGTTCACTGATGGTGATAGAGTCTCCTAATGTCAAATTCTGGATTAAGAGACCCTCTGTATTTAGATATTGTACCTATATGAAGGAAGAAAGGAAACAAAACATGAACATTTATTACAATGATTCCTGAAAGAGGTCATTATAGAAAGAAATAATTTCCACAAATTTCACCAAATAATGTTAAGTATACCTCAAATGCATTAAATTCACCCCTAGGTGGTTCCCAAGTCAGTGTAATATCTGTATCTGTTATCTGGGAGGCATTGATTCCAACAATAGGTTCAGGGTCTAAAAGATAACAATAAAGATATAGAAATCATACTTAAGGAAAAGAAAGCACAATGCACAATAGTTTGTAAATTACTTACACATGCGGTCTTGTCTCTGAAGAGGTAAACTAGCTACTCCATCGGATACTGTCCAAACTGTGATGTTGTACAACCTGCCAGGCACAAGGCCAGTAAATATTACTTTAGATGATTCAGTGTCGTTGGCAAGTTTTTCGCGGTCTGGAATGGAGGGATCTGATAGCCGGAATCTATATCGGTCAAAGTGAGATGAAGTCTGAGGTGTTCTTGTATAACGGAGAGTTAGTTGACCAGTCTCTTGCAGATTGCTTACTACCAATACCTCAGATTGGATAAGTGGCACTAGAAATAAAAAAAAAGATTTGATTTCAATAAATACAAAGTATTTTTTATCTGACTCCTGCCCAACTTCCATATATTATCAATTCACTTACTTGTTCTGGCTGACAGTTTAGTTGTACCGGAATGCAAATTATAGCTGACAGTCTGTATTTCCATAGCATATTTTACTCCAGGCATTAAATCAGTGATGAGAATTCGAACCATAACACCTTCATCATCACCAGTGTCATTAACATTACGGGATTTAGGGGCAGGATCGACGCCTCCATCCTCAGCTTGCCACCTAGAAAATTTAAAAAGTGTAACGTCATGCAAAAACTAAACAGACTAACACTGAGGAATTAAAATTAATATTAATAATCCTTACATGATAATATAATACTCAATGCGACCCTCTGGACGAGGAAATTCCAAAGTCACATTGTTAGAATCAATCAAGCGAGCAATATTTGAGACAGGGTTTGGACCTGAAACCAGAAGTAGTTGGTTAGAATTTATCAGAAAAAATCTGAGGGAGAAAACAATAGAAATTTTCTGATACATACGGACTGTGTGATTAACTTCTTGAGGGGCACTGCTTTCCACTCCAAAACTAACAGTGTTAACCTGAACCATATACTTTTCTCCAGGGGTCATATCTGTGACTTCAGCTTCTGTTTCTCGTACTGCTGGAAGTTTTACCCATCTCTCATCTTCCTCAGTGCGATACCTAAAAATGAAAAGGTATTAAGTAGACTTCACAGTTTGGAAACATCATTCACTGTCAGAGGAAAACTGTATTCATTTTGCATTTACCTGATGGAATATTCAGAAAATATTGAGTCTTTTGGGCTTTCCCAGCGCACTAGAACTGAATTACTAGTCACTTTTTCGATGCTCAAATTTCTTGGTGGATTAGGATCTGAAACAAACAAATTAAAAATATTGAAAGTTTTCAATATTATTGAACAAGCTCAAGCAATACTTTAACTTACAGCAGAGTTCCTTTCTGCATGCAAGAACACAGAATTTTACAATAAAGAGAGCAAAAAAGATTCTCAACCAAAAATTTTTTTAAAAAATGTCAAAAACCAACTTACACACTGCTTGGAAGTAATCATGAGGTTCACTTTGAAGCCCATGGCTCACAGCAAACACTTCAACCTCATAACCAGCCCCCGGATACAAATTATCAAGGACCAGGCGTGAGTCTGTAGTCAATGTAGTGACACGGGCTCCTGGAAAGGAATATAAAACAACATGTGACTGTAAAAAGATCAAAGCACTCAATGAGGAGAAATTTTTGTTATCATTACCTGTATCATTCCTAACATAGGTGACCTCATATTTTTCTTGCCTTGAATTAACATCTGATTTCCAAGATATATTCAGCCCATTGATAATTGGGCGCAAGTCTTCAATAATGGGTGAGGATGGAACTAAAATAGAAATAAGAATAGATAAATCATTTAAAATCCAATGGACAAACAGACAAAATGATCCTTCAAAAAAGTAATATGAGCTTACGTGTAGCAACATATATGTTGGTGTGGTTTGAATCTAATCCATTACTAGTAGCCTGAACTGTCACAGAATAATTTCTTCCTGGCAATAAGGACTCCAAAGAAAGTGATGTTTGATCTTTATCAACTAGCACAGAGTTGCTATCACCATTGTATGTTTCAACTTCATGATAAGTAATTTTATAGCCTTCCTGGTAACTTGAATTGTCAGGTGACCAAGTGATCTTCACAACTCCTGTCTTGTCATCAGTGGCAGAGTGTAAATCTTGAACAGGTAATGGCTTCAATGTCACATTTCCTGACGCTGGCCAGGAGGTAACTTTGCCAGAGACTGTTTTAACAAGGACTTGGTATGTTTTTCCTGCTTCCAAACCATCTCGAAATTCCCAGGCTGTAGGCTCATCTCGATTTCTTGTCACTGGTGGCTGTCTTCTTACAGATATGGAAACCTGGTACTTATCAAATTCACTACAGAAAAGAAATAAAAATTAGCACAGGAGAAAGTTGATGAAGGGGAAATGTAATTATGTTCTAAAATGATAATTACCTATTTCCTTTAGGTGGTTCCCAATGAACCTTGAAGGAGTTGGATGTAATGCTATTTTTGTCAAAAGTGACATTCATAGGTCTCAAGGGAACTGTCCTATACTGTGCAGTTGTAGGGGCAGATACTTCATCTTCACTGACAGTCTGCACAGATATATTATAAGCCCGTCCTGCAAAATTAAATTGTCACTAGCAAAAGAATATTATGGGTTGAGTAGCACTTGAATAATAATGTAGCTTGTATACCTGGTACTAGTCCTTTAAACGCTGCTTGTGCAGGACCAGGTGGTTCACCCTCTTTTTCGACATATAAAACACTTTCAACAGCATCAGGAGGATCTATGGAAACCTTGTAATGCAGGTAGACTCCAGGAGGATACGGTGGCTGCCACAATACCAATAATGTTGTTTCATTACGGAACCATACAATGAATTTCCCCGGTGTGTTGGGTTCTGGAATGAGAAACAACGTTATTAAAATTTATACGAAATTGCTTCAGAAATAGATAGATACAAAATACGTACTTGTGGTGAAATTCCTTGAGGTGTATGCTCCACTCTCCTTGCCATCATACACAGTAAAGAGCTGGAGCTGATATGTGGCGCCAGGCATTAGATCTTTCAACGTAAACGGACTCACTGCCTCTTCTGACCGCAGCACCGGCTGCTGATGGGGTGATTCAGACAGGTTCACCACCTTCACTTTGAAGTTGTTATAGTGCCCCACAGCTGGTGGGCTCCAGGACACCTGGGCCACCTTACCGCTGCGTACATTTACTGACAAATTGGTAGGCGGGTCCGGTGCTGAAATCAGTTATTTTCACCAGGTTAGTTTATAAAAGAACGTTTAAAAAGAATGAATATAGCGCTTTGTATTGGTTGAGGCATACCTGTGGTGATAGAGGCTGTCCAGGTGAGCCAGTCGTTGACTGTAGAGTTCGAGTAGAAGAGCCAGAACTCATACTTGGTGCCAGGCAGGCCCTGACTGAACTGGATCACGTCCCCGATGTCCCTGCTGGCGATGGTGGCGTTGGGCGGCGGGGAGCCGTGCGGCGGCGAGTAGTCCAGCCGGTAGGAGCCGTCCGGGCTCAGGTTCCCGGGGATCTGGATGACGAGGTCCGCGCCCTCCGCCGCGGCCCACAGCGACACCAGCTGCAACAACAGGCAGAACGGACGTCAACCACTTGGACCACCGCGACCGAGTACCCAATCCCTGCAGCCGTGAATAATTCCATCTGTCACGTGTCATTTGGGCCCCAGTGGTGGTCAGCCTAAGGCGCCTAAGGCAACAGACAGCCCTCCCGCCAATGAAACCATCGGTGTAGCTGGAAGATTCTTTATCTGCAGGTCCGCGTGTATGGTAACGGGTGTTGCGGGATCGCTAAGGTGACCCTGTAGTGGGGGGTTGCAGGAGGACATGGCGCCTTACAAGCGTGGGGAGTAGGCAAACCCGCAACACTGGGGCGCATTCAAAGAAAAACTCCCCCCTCCCCCCCTCAGAATAAAAACCCCACCAAACATTTTCCCGTTCTTACGAACAAACTTCACTTGGGATTTAGAAGTCAGGCAAAGAATAAACTTTAGACAAAAACATCGTTTTTATTTTAAATCATAGATTTGCCACAAACTGTTTTACAGAGTGCGCGCGCGAGACACGCACGCACGCACGTCCGGGTCCCGGTCCCGAGCGAGGCGACACCGGCACAAACGCCTCCTGCATACGCCTCATTCATTCAACATTCAGTATCCATTCAGAATCCATTCGAATCCATTCGTCCGTCCACTCACTCATTCATGCGAGCGAAACGGACCCAGACGTACAGGACATGACGTTGACAGGATGCCGCGCACGGGGAGGGAAAACAACAGAACTCGATAAATGCGGCGCCTTTATAATATGCTTTTTCCATTTGGCCATGGATAACAGCAGAGTCTCGGCCAGATCACGACAGCTTGCGCTGCTTTTTTGTCGGTCCCCAATCTCGCTCCTCGACGAGGCAGGTGGCGGCAGGTGCCGGCTAAATTTGCGCGATCAGTTGCTTTTTCCCTTTGCTCCCCCATCCTATCTCTCATCGTATCTCTCTCTCTCTCTCGCCCGCGCTTCCATCCCTTTCTCCACGTCCTTTCCTTTGTCTCTCCCGCCCCCCTTTCCCCACCTCAAATTAAACTGGGATCCACTGCAATCAATAGAAGCGTCCAACTGAATCGGTTCAGGATCGGCGGGGATCGGGCACTCTCCTCTACCCCCTCCCCCCCCCCTTCGCCCCATTCTCCATCTCCCTCGCCGCCAAAGGGTTGCGCGGGGATGGAGCGAGAGGGGAGGAGGAGGGGTCAGCCAGGGTGCTTCTTGCATTGCTATTCTTACTGGCGAGTCGAGTGCCTGCTTGGCCTGGCAGGCGCGAACGTTGCGTTGCAATAGCGTCGCGGGGGAGGGTTGTGCATAGGGTTAAGAAACCCGCCGCTGTCCCCCGCACCTGCGGTTCCAAACGTAACAACACGTAGTTTTACTTTGGATATCTTTTACTTTACAAAGCGATCAGCAGCGAATAAAGAAAGGAAATCGAAAAGGGGGGGAGGGGGGAGGGAATGCCACACGTGGGTTTCCTCTCGCGCGCACCGCGAGAGTATTGGGAAACATTCCACCACGCCAGGCGTACTCGCGAGGGGTCTGGCTCCCTCTCTCCCTCTCCACACTCGACTTGAAGCTAAACAATGCGAACATTTAACGGCCGGATACTCGCGCCCGTCAGCACCCTCCTGCCTGCGCGGCAGGCGCCCGCGGCGCCCTGTCCTGTACAGTTCAACACCGGCAAAAAAACTAAAGAACAAAATAGTGCTCAAACTATACCTTTCTTGGGTTTGCCTAACTCCCTCCGCTCACAAGGGGCTTAGCCCTTGCGGACCTCTGATCACGGCGCCTTACGGCTCGAGCGAGTAGGCAACCCGCCCGCACGCGACCAGACGGCAAAGTTAGTCTCTCCTAGAGTCCTAGTCTCTCCGTAGTGGGCGGGGCGAATCAGTCCCCTGGCAAATGCGAGGGATTGCACCCCACACGAAATAAAAACAAAAGTGCAGTTTTCTTTCGCTGCCTTTCTTACGTCGTGTTATCCTTGCTTGCGCGGGTTTCTCGTAAACGCGAGGTGAAATAATAATAATGGGCGAGACAAAGGGAGGTAACACTTTGCTCGCGCTTTTGCTCGGGCCGGCTCAGTCTCCGGAACAATTCCCACACATGCGCCGCATGCGCCCGCCCCCGCGCCCCGCGCACGCACCAGAGCCATTGTTGCGTTACGGGGAGGACGCGCGACGCACCTCGAGGAAGGGGCCGCTCAACGCCGTCCACTGTTGGTGGAACTAGACTTTAGATCAAGGGGCACTCCACTCAAAAACCCCCCTAAAAAACACTATATACACCAACCAAGAAAAATCAGAAAAAAATCAGAGAAAAATCAGAAAAAAATCAGAAAAAAAGAAAATGAATTTAGCCAAGAACAGAAAAATCTGTGAACGCTTGAATTTACAGCACTAATACTGGATACTGACATCTTCTGCCTTGTTTTATTACTGAAAGCAGGAACAAGATGTTTGGTGTGCAAAACACAAAATCCAAACCCGACACCTTTACCTCTTCTCTTTTCACGGTTCAGCAGCGCGCGGACGTGACGTCACCTGACCCTAACCACTCTACTCCCCCCCCCCCCCCAAAGCCTGCGCGACCGCTATCACCGTGCAACAGCTGGCTGTGGAGAGAGGGGGGGGGGCGGGGGGGCAACTACGGAGAGGTGAGAGGTGATCATTTGGGGTGTTCCTTTCGGAGTTTCAGAGATAAATCCCACTTGCGAGTCAGATTGCATGGAAAATAGAGAGTGAGTGAAATTCGAGGTCATGTCTCATATCTCACTCCAAAACAGTGGAAATAGTGAGGATTAATAGGGCATTTTTTTTAAGAGCAGGCAAAAAGTAAGGAAAGTAAGCAGCCGGAGAGAGAGGGGGGGGGGCACACCTGACAAACAGGTACCCGAGGCTGGTTAGCTGGTCCTGCCCCTTGGGGCGTCCGGCTGGTACCGTAAGAGGCGCTCGCCCCGCGCACCCGACCCGGCGGCGTACTGACTGTTGCGAGTCAGCGGTGCGGACTGGTGCGGGCGGGACGCACAAGGTCCACGTGGTTGTGGACCTGAGCCACCTGAAGGTGGTACGCACCGGTACGCACCCCATGTCGCGCCGACCAGGACCAGACCAGAGGTACCCGCCGACTGGGACTAGGGGTCGGGTGGGGCGGGGCACTCAGCTGCGAGGCCAGGGCACGCAGCCGCTGCAGCAGCTGCCAGCCCGCGCCGCGCCCCACCTGCAGCTGTCACCGCCGCCGCCGCCGCTGCAGCGGCTCGCCCAAGTCCCGCCACGCCCCGGCAGCTGAGTTGCCAAATCGGCGACTGCCCCGCCCTTGCCTCAGCCCGCCCCTCCCGCCCCCCTGCGCCCAACAAACCAAAGCTTTAGAGCAAATTTCCCACCGGCGCAGGCCGCCGCACCGGCTAAAATGTTATTACCATCGTCAGGACCTCCGCGTCCTCCCCCACGCTTCCTCCTGCTGGCCGGCTGGCGTGGGAGACAGAAAAGATGATAAGAGCGGCAGAAAAAGAAGAGAAAGAAAAAGGAGACCGGCGCGGCGCCGCCCGCAAGTATATAAATTGCGGACGTTTTTGCCAACGAATAAATGAGTAAATAAACGTGTGTTTTTTTTGTTTTGAATGTGTCTGTGATTAATGCCTCTTCTCGAGTGGGAAGTCCATCGCGATCATCATTCATACCACGATGCCTCCATGGCTCCCAGAACACCTTGCGACGAACGTCCTCGTTGTAGCATGGCAACGGCAACGGCCAGTCTCGGTCCGGAGCCCGAACCAGAAAGGACGCCGTCAAAGTTGCGCACCGCCTATCTCTATGGCGCCTACACAATAGCAAAAGGAGCGGGATCATCGTTCAAGAAAGAGAGGGGCTCCGATACTCGTCTTATTTATTGGGAAATGCTACACCTGACCCCCCCCCCCCCAACAAACTGTTTATCGGCTAAAACTTCTAAAGGCAAAAGGGATAGAAGCGCATTGCACGCGGCATCCCGGCTGGTTGATAAGCGCTATGGGAAAGTGTCACGCGTCACTCCCGAAACGCCTCTGGATGGAGTGTCGGCTGGTACACTCATTTCCGTACATTGTTATTCAAACACTAGCAACGTCACATTCCGCAAAATATGTGAATGTACAATGAGTTTCGCGGGTATTCGTCGAGAGTATTCGAGAGTATTGGCGAGTTGTCGCGAGTTTCTTGCAAGTATTTTTTCGTGGAAAGTTTTTTTTTTTTGTCTTTGACTTGGGGAACCCCCCCCCCCTTTTTTTAAAAAGATACTCGCGGTACAGAGGTCCACCCACAAGCCGCCTCTGGCGGAGCCCCGCCGTGCTCCGCTGTTGGAGCCGACGCTGTCCAGACGCTGTCGGCTGTCCAGCAGCGCCAACGGCCCCCGCCGCGGCGCCCCGCGGCACCCACAGCCTCCAGCAAGGTCATTCCCTCCGCTACGCTGTGCTACGCTGCGCTACTCGACGCCGCCAGACGAGGAATTGAATCCATAAACACGACGCGGTATCCGCGGTGTACGGTGAGCCGCGTGAGCAGCCGGGACGGACGGCGCGCGCGCACGCACACCTGCACTCGGCGTATAGAGCGATGCACTTGGCACGGCGCCACCCCACGCCAGGGAGCCGGCTCACTGCACCGCACCGCATAAAAACAATGGCCGATCTTTTTATTTTGAGGAAAAAAAGGAAAATTTAGTTGAGGGACCCATAATTTCAAGGGAAAATTATCAGCTTTTGGGGAAATCTTCTCAAAAAAATGTGGGAATTTCCCTCACTGTTTTGAGGAGAGTTTCTCAAAATCTGAGGAGTTTTTTTGCCCAAATTATGGGAGTTTCTCAAAAGTGTTTCCCCTGAGGACCCCTAAAAAAACCAGACATTGGTTTTACAGTGCGGGAGGAATATGAACAGGCACACACCAGTCCAGGGAGAGGATTTTTTCTTTTGAGAAATAGAGATTTGTACGTCATCTCGGAGAGGGTTTTTTCTAGGGCGATAGGTCTCTGTCCGTCAGTTAACTGAGAATTC